CCAGCTGCCTTGGAGGAGCCTGCACCTGGGGCAAGGATACAAAATTACCACCTCTGGCAACCAAGGCAATAATCATGCTACAGGTAAATCCCAGCTCCAGCCCATACTTGGGAATTTCAGCCTGCCCGTATCTGCCCTTCCTTCCCTTAGGGAAAGCAGCAATAAGGCCATGATTTGTTTTGGTTTCGTTTGGTTTCACCTGTTCAAGCAGGTTCAAGCACTTCTTTGAGGGTCTCAGGGACATGTTCAAACCCCACACTTAGAGGAACTCTGCTCATCTCTTGCTTAAGGACAGTGTGGCGAAGTGAGGCCCAGCCAAGCAGCTCTTGGAGAGCAAGTGCTAGGACCCTGGCTTTTGGTGCCTTCAAAGGCTGTGTGGCTAGAAGTCCCACTTGCCTCCCAAGAATGCTTCCTCCTTTTTCAAGGCAAAACTAAAACTGCTAAGTAACTGGAGATGAAGAAAAAGAAACAAACCAAAAAGAAACCCTTTGCCACCAATGAAAGTGAAAGGCTAGACAAAAAGTCTAGGAGGAGATGAACACAGGACTCAGGCATGGAGACATGACGGTGTTTCAGCCACTCTGCCACCCAGCTGAACTCTGCTGGGGCTCTTGCTACGGCTTCCTTCTTGCTAGACTCCAGAAGACAAGGAAATTCCTGGAGAATGGAGTCATTCTTGGAGGACAGAGGGAGTCAAGCCCATTCCCTTCCAGCACCAGTGCTTTTTATGAAGCTGTCAGTGCCCCTTGCAGTAGGTCCTGCCTGGGAGACAATGGGATCAGAAGGTTCTACCATCTCCTCTGGGCCCCTAAAGGGCTGACACTGCCTTGTGAGAGATTTCTTCATTTTGTCCCCTGGGTTTTCCAGATGAATCTCTGTTTGTGACCTGCAGACCCAACAGCTTCTTGGTTAAGAAACAAAATGATGGGATCAGGTAGGACAGGTCTCCATTTACTTCCAAGAGGGTTGTGGGAAGGAGCAGAAGTGCTGCTCACTGCCAGTACTACTCTCTTTCCAGGGATACACAGCTAAAGCTTCTTTCCTTCCTTTCTCTCCAAAATACTATCTGTTGATTTCTCTGCTGGAACAAGTTTAATCTGTTCAATTTTCTTATCCAGTTCCGATGGAAATACAGGTGCCAACTGAACTGCAAAAGTGCGGAAAGGGGTGGAGGTTTGACATGTACAGTTTGACCTGGAACAGCCAAGCACTTGTAAGTAAGAATTCTCTGACAGCACCCGCTTGGGAGCCTGCTTATGGGCAGCGCTGACCCAGCACCAGAACTGAAGGGTCTGCTATAATAATCCAGAGCACTGTAAGGGACACCATCCTGTGCACGCATGTAAATTCCTGTCGGAATAATTTTTTTCAGTGTTTACTAAGAGCATACAAGTGTCTGTGGGGAAATACCAGCATTCATTCTTCTCAGAGATAAAACCCTCTACTTGATGAAGTACAAATTCCCTTTTGGAGGCAGTTTGCTTTTTTGTGTCCGAAGTAATTTTACATTCTTAGCCATAGACTGCCCTGCAGTGGCGAAGCCAAAATCTGCATCCTTACTGACTTTTATACAGGACCTTTTAACTTTCTTATTTAGAAGTAGTTTGCCCAATACTAGAATGGACAGAAAGAGCCCGTGAAACTACAGAACAAATGAAAAAAATGAAGCAAGGGAGATTTTAGGCTTCAGTGTACATATAGCGTGCAGCAAAATGTCACTACTGACTTGGAATATTTTATCTTTTTTTCATAGGAAACAACGCAGATTTGATGACACCTTGTACCTGTTTGTCTCCAGAAGCTATTTCCTGACTTCAGCCAAATTTAACTGCAAAAATGAAGATCTCAAACACAGCTAAATGTCAACAAATTTTGAGAAAAGTGGGTTTTGCAAACAACTCAAGGAAAAGCATGGCTGTAGTGTCAGCACAGAAATTGTTAGACAACAAAGAATCCACAGAGGAGAGTAACCTTGTAAACGCCCCAGGAGAAAAGTCTTAGTCACATCTCACAATGAACCTAGTGCTAGAAATCATTAGAAACCCATTCTAAAGCAGAAACCAGGCTTCATTAGCTCTGCTTTGTAAACTGACGAAACTTCCTTCTTCTTAGATCAGCTACCTCTCCCCCTACACAGAATTTAGCACTCTAATCATAGTATTCTAAAGATGCAAAACTTCTGGAGTTTCATTTTCTGTGCATTCCTACCAGTGTCTGCATTCTAAGCTGCAACACATTTGGCAGGGCTAGTAGTAGCACAAAATGGTGCCACCAATTCTTTAGGTAGCAAAGATGCTTGTATTCGGGTTGGCTGTGGCTCAAGCAGTTACTTTAAGTTCTCAGAAGGGTAAAGCAAAATTAGTGTTCATTAACAGAGACAAAATAATAGCAAAAGCATTTTCCACACACAACAGAAGGTGTGGATTACCCTCATTGTACCCCAGATGATTCAAGAGACATGTCCTTCTCTCAGCTAATCTCCTTCAGCTCCCCTTACAGTAAGATCAGATAAACAGGCACTTTAGAATGCAATTCAGCTAACCTCCTTCGGATATGTCCTTTGTTGTGAGACAAATGAATGTCAAAAATGGCTATTTCTCTCCATTTTCTGTGGAGGAAGCCTAGGATTACTGGCTCAGAGACAGGAATTTGGAGACCTCTTATTACAGGACTAACTATACTTCCCTGAAGCGCTGTGAATGAACTTCATATTCTCATAGCTGAGGTACTACTTTCTTAGTGAAAATACATAATTGTGATGAACCGAGACAGTTCTAATGTACGCAGTCCTGCTAAAATGAGATCCGGTGTGCTGAACTAGAAGTTTCTCCGAGTCATCTGAATCACTTCATGATGCATTATTCATCTTGGGCTTTGTTCTGGCAGACAGCATCAACTTCTGCCCCAGCTTTCACGTTGGGTCCTCCAGACAGTACCTTCTGATATTTCAGTTTTTAAGGAGCCAGAAATAGATACCCCAAAAATTTAGGAAATATGTAAGTTGACTTCCTATAACTTCAACAAGAACTTTTCTTGTCTTAAAACTCAGGCTCATCAAGACAGAACATGAATAAGTACAAAACCCATGTTTTTTGAAATGTGCTTTTAATCATTCAGTGAAAATAAGCTGATTATAAAGGGACCCAAAAGGCTGTGCACTTGGAAGAATACAAATTTGTGTTCTTATTTTGTGCACAAATAAATAGAGCACTGTTAAAAACAATCAGAGAACAAACAGGATGCAGTAACTGGGAAAAGCAAAGTACAAAAGTAGTCAAGGAAGCTGAGAATGGTGCATAGTCCTTTTAGTTGAATGCTGTTAGGTTTTTTCCCCCTCATTTTGATGTTAAGCTTATGGCCCTCTTGATGCGGTTCAGGGTGCTCGCCTTGTCGTTTTCTTCTGTGCTCTGCAACTCACTGGATTGTGAGCTGCTGCATTCAGTGTCTTGACAGCTGCAGCTTTCCACGGATATATACCTATGTGAGATTGAATGTCCATCGGGGCATTTCAGTTCCACTTCTTTCACGGTAGAGCTTGATTCCCTGCAGCAGGAACAGCTGTGCTCCATAGAATTGGCCTCAGCAGAGTATCTGTTAACGTGGAAAATGGCAACATTACTCTGTGCCAGAAGCCAGCATACAGAGGAGAGGGTGAAATGAGGTACAGAACTCCTGTGAGAAGTTTGGAGTAATACGTAGAAGAGCCACCGTTGTGGCTAAGGAAAGTGCTAAGCTCGTCTGACAGAGCAGTGATTATAACAAAACGCTTTTAAAATTCATTGCATTTGCTGAGAATTTTTTCTCGTAAAACAATTAGTATCAAAGTCCTAGTAAAAAAACCCAGCGAGTTCTAGGAGCTCAGCTTCCTTAGGTTCCACTCATCATCCCAGCGCTGGTGGATATTGAATACACCAGATGAACAATTGAGGGCAGGCAAAGCCCTGCCCTGAATAAGAAAACTGCATAGACAAGTGGCTACAATGCCATCTACAATGGCATCACATCAATCAATTGCCTACAAGGGCTACAATTACATCAAGGGAATCGAAGTGCATATCCCAAACCAGGCGGTGTTAACAGGAAGGGGAAGCAGCAGCTCCTTCTGTTCCTATCTCACAGCAAAGTATTTTTTGCAGCCTTGTGTTCATCCTAACCTGCGGAATCTGTCAATATCAGGCTATAAACTGTGTCAAGAGCCATCTTTTTCTTGTATTTGTGTGCAGAGGCAACCACAGCAAGACTTTAAGATGATAAGGTATTTCAAAATATTAATAAACCCACTGGCTAATCGGGGTTCAATCTGAGATTAAAGATCAGTTTTCTCCCATGTAAGGTGCCCTGTGGCATATTCAGTGATAAGCAGCAAATGACAGTTTCTTTGGGAAGTTATAATTGTGTTTTGCCAGTGTTTTAATAGCTCAGTACCCGGTGTCCTACTAGCCACTTTCTTATAGCCACTTTCTTGTAGATTCTCTCATGTCAGAGAAAAATGTACAGTGAAACTACTCTACTGACACCACCCCTAAAGCATTTGGGTTTTAATTTTTTTACTGTATAGAAGTTGCGCATGTTTGAATCTTCCTTTAAAAGATGTATGTGTATTTCATTCTAGATGTTAATTATTGAGAAGTAGCTTTTCAGCTTATGAGCATCAGGTCTGGCTGCTCTCTGGGCTCATTCCCATTACAGGAAATAATCCCTGTTCTTGTGTGACGATTTCTAGCCAAGGTGGTCTGAGACACATGACAGACAAGCCAGCTCTTAATGGATGAATAGACCTTATCATAGCTGTCTGAATCCAAAGGCAATTCAATACTTTTCTACTTTGTATTAAGACGAATCAACTGTTCAGTCACAGATTTCATGATTTTGTGCCCATGATTTGGGGAGCTGATCATTTCAGGTCTTCTACCATTCTGTAGTCTACCTATTTGTTGTTCCTTTTATATAAACAAACTCAGTGCCAGCAGAATTCAAATCTCATTGTCCGATCAGTTTACTTACAGCGAGAAGGTTCCACATGTTCCCTCACATTCAGTCATGACAACTCTGTCCACAGATCGGCAGCCCTTATGGACGATAAAGTCTTTTCTTTGACGGACAATGCACGGTGTTTGACTACCCAGAGGTGCACCTATAAAGAAAGATCAGAAAATACTTCCAGTGAAATAGCTCCAGAAGTTCCTTGCAGTTCAGCGCTCTCTGGGCTTCACTAGTGCACTCAAGGAATTGTCTTAAGTGGTCTTTCTGCTTCCGTTTAAACTTTCCCAGAGAGATCGGACAATGAATGCTTGGAATAACAAACATAAATATAAAAGTATCTATTTAAATACAAACATATCAGCCTCTATGGCTGGAAAATGGGTTGATTTAAGAAGAAAATTCATTCTCTCTATTGTTGATTCAGGTACACTGGCATACTTACAGGTTTTGCAACAACCATTTGGTAAGAATGTAATAGTTCCCTAAAAGAACAAAGAAACAGGAAAAATAGTATTATTTTCTTTCCTTGTATTAAAGAGGTTTTTAGGCCAATAACTGAGGAGAGCAATTCCTCAATGGCTGGAACTAACCAGCAAAAACTGTAGCATTAATCTGAATAAAAAAGATAACGGTCTCTTCCAGACTTGAAATCTATCAATTTACAAAAGATTGTGGAAATAAAGATAATGCTTTGAAGGAAGTCTACAGTTAATATCATGCAACTTTTCCTCAGAAACAATTCCAAAAAATGTTTTCTCAGAGACTTCTGTATTTGAATGGGGAGTATGCATGGTTTACTGGCAGCCTACTGACTGAACAGCTTGTGTTTCTGTAACATTCAAGAAAACATGGTTCTTGTTCAGACAGGACCCCACACAAAGCAGTCAGAGGACTTTGTATCTCAGTGCTGACCAGTGTTTTGGCTTCTGAGAGACAGCTGTCAATTATAAGCCTCGAACTGTCACTCAGATATCTTATTTTATACACTTTATAGGTCTGTGCATGGATGCAGCAGAAACTTTTGCCCTTGGGACTGAAAAACTGGTGAAAGGTCATCAGAGCTTAATTTGACTCTTGTTGCTAGTTAGGTGGCTGAACTAAACTGAAGTAATCTATGCATTGAGTAGAGGGTAAGTTTTCTATATTTACTTACAGGTTTGCAGCTCTCCTCATTGAATGCTGGGCAGGTAATCTCAGATGTGGAAGAGATAAACTGGTTGTGGATATTTACACAGCTGTAAATGGTGCAGTTGTTGTAAGGATCATTTTTAAACTCTCCAGGCTGCAAGCGAAATACAAAATGTAATAAGGAAAGCTGAAGGGAGCGCAGACAGAAATTTCCTGTCCTCTGACAATGATTTTCCTCTTGTTTCCCGGTCAATAATTTTTAAGTTAACAGCCGTTTTGGATACAGATTATTACATGTATTGCAGTATGCCGTACATGGAGAGAATCTTTAGTTTTACATGGGATTTTCCTTGGAAAAGAAAAATCCCTCTAAAATACGTAGAGTACATTAGAGTTACTAACAAAATCATCCGTGTCAATGGATTTTGCTTAGGGAAAGCTAAACTGTTACATGGTAATTAAGAACAATCCTAAACTTTCACCCTACAGGGGCAATAAATCGTTTCATACGCAGGCTTTACTACTGTTTTTCAGTACACAGAAATCAAATAATATAGAAAAGCCCAAGCTTTTCAAGAAAAACCCTTCCAATGGTATTGGATTTGTCATTCCAGGAAGAGTCTTCCAGAAAATTTGATTTCATGAGTCCTTCCTTCAGGCCAAAAAATCGTAGATAGGCTTTGCTTTAGCTGAGCCCCTGACCTTTCAGGTGCAAACTTACACTAAGCCTTATCTCTGAGAAGGAGATGTTCCCTCTCTGAAAGGGGGAACTTTTTAAATTTGGTAGAGACTTAAGATGTAGAACATACTTACACTCAAGATGAGGACAGAATTTTTTGCTGTACGTATAACACACTTAGTCTGCACACATCTTCCACAACATTCACCTTTCACTGGTTGAAGGTCATATCCCTAGATATTAGAATTAATTAAAAATGAAAACACTATGATAGATGCATTTTTGAGAAATAAATGAAAACATACTAACCCATTAATTGATTATGCTTTGAAGTGCACTCTAGATTTGTGCCTTTCTGTGCCTTTCTGTGTTCCAACCCAACAGAAGACAAGTAATAAAAGCAGGCTATAGATGGAATAAGTTAAAGCACTATGCTAAATATGCCTAATAATTAAATATCACTCCGTTAAGTGCTCTACAGAAATTTCCCAGCTAATCCTCCTGATGTGAACTGAATACTGTAAGTTACATAGTCAAGCTTCGCGCAATGGAGTGCTCAAGGACAGTTGGTATCCATGTTGGAGTTGAACTCTGGATTTCTGCTCCCTGTCCTTTGCTTATACCATTCATTGATCAAACTGCTTTTCACGTACATGGGTGTTTTGGGGGTTTTTTTGTTTGTTTTAAGTTTGTCACTTACTGGTTTACAATACACGTTGCATGGAATATGTTCACATGAGATGATATTCAGTTGAGTGCTGACGTTAACTTCGTTAGTGCAGAAACAATTCTGACACTTATCAACAAAGACTGAGGAATTAGGCTATAAATTTTAAGAAAAAAAGATTCATATATTAATGAGATATGACATGTGTGACAGACATTTCTTAATTTCCAAAAAATCTGTAAACCAAGCAATGGAAAAGGAAACAATCATAAACACTATTGGATAGCTGTTTGGCTAGCCATTTATGAAGACAACATTTTAAATACTGAATTTAATTTAACATGTGTCTTTATTGAAGTCCTATATAGCAACGATAAACTCAGATATTAAAAGGACAGGTGTCATACAAATATCTGCAATAAAACAATTACTAGATCCAACAGAATTTATTAGGAATCTAAGACTGTTTAGAATAATACTTATTTACAAATCTTTTTATTTTTGAAAGCAGAGTCTTAAAACTGCAATAATGTGCTGACAGTAAATGTGGTCTGACTTTTTAAAATGCATGCACACTTAACTCTAAACCCGAATCTCTCTCTGATACTGACATACAAACAACTCTTCAGTCTTTTTCATACACAGCAACCTTTTCAGAAAAGAATTAGGCTCTGTGAAATTGATGAACTCCTGACAGGAATTTGAAAATTCCTAAAATATTGATCGTACTAGATAAACCTCCTCATAGCACTTCTGATCAAGTATACTAACTGGTCTTTTAAGCATTTTCAGAAGACTGTTGAAACAGGAACTTACCAAGAACTCAGCATTCTGATGTACACAAACCCTCTTGGGAACTGTTAACAAGCAAGGAATTAGGTAGTTACATAGGAGAAAAAAAAAAAAGGTCTTCATCTCACTGTAGTCAAACTCATTTCTTCCACAGTGAATTACAATGCATGTGGTCAAATACATTGGTTATTCCCCATTTCTGGTAGAAGATATGACGTATATAAAATATAAGGGCAAATACTGCATGTGCAAAAAGGGAGGAAGATTTGGCCCAATATATGCAGTCCAGTTCATAGCCAAGAATGTCCGATTAACAGGTACAAGTAGTTGTTATTTCAATTACCAAGAACAAAGCAGACTTTGTAAAGCTATCTTCTTTTGGGGATGCTTACAGGGACATTTTGCTAGATTAAGCTGAGACCACAGTCCCAGTTAATTCTGTAGCTGTTCTTACATGTACTTACAACCAGGAAAATGGAACTTGAGCCACCTGAGCTATATCTGATTTTGTAGTTGTTCAACATAACCATAGCAGTAGTAACCAATGTTAGTAGTAACCAATTTGTAGAATCTGACTGTGTTTATTACCTCTTTCAACAGGCTATTGTATACAGTCTTGCTAAGTGTGATGCTAAATTATGTAATACATAATGTTAATCTTTGTAATATATTTCCAAGGGACTTACCACACTGGTACACAGGACAGCACTGACCACTGGGAATATGAGAATGAACTTCAAATCCCAGTGTACACTTGGGGGCTTCAGCTGTGCACAAGCTTGTATTGCATTCTGAAAAAAAGAAGGAATAAGCCGGAAAGTACACTAAATCATGGCTACTAGAAATAGGCATCTATCAAAGCACTTAGGATAGACTTTCCAGTGCTAGGAAACAATCCAGATCCTTTCCAAAGAAACAAATGGCAGGAAGAGGATACATTTTTCCTAGTGAATCCAGGCACTGGATTGGGGGACTACACTAGTTTATGAAACTTTCTCTACTATGTAATTACCAAGTGTTAAAAGTATCACAATTATTTGCAGAGAAGTAGTGGACAACTGTTACTCTGTCCAAGGTTGTAAGCAACTGCTGTAAAATGAAAACCCACATAGAATTCCATAAGCTACCTGCATTTTACTTGAATAAAATGTGGTCCTGAACTCAAGAACTATAGATTCAGTTACGCTGAGTCCCATAGTTGTAAATTCAATTATGCTGAATCATTGCAATATCAAAACGTATTTTCCCTAACACTGGGCAAGCTGATTTTAAAAAGCATGAGGGAAGATACCATTTTGTGATTCCCTGCTACAGGTCTCTGGTGCTAAACTAGTTCAGTTTTCTTTTCCTTTCTATTCCTAAAAGGTATAGAAATACTAGAAACAAAAGTATAAACTCACTGCAGGTGACAATGGGGCAGCAGGAGTCTTCAGAATTTACTTCATTGACCTCATATAAGCCTTCTCCATCACAACTGGTCTTATTTTGTTTGGCACATTCATGAGGCTCACATACAATGCCATTTTCACCTTCCAGACAAATACAGTCCTGACAGTCCACTGTAAACTTTTCCCCAAACTGTCATTAAAGAAAATAAAGTGAATGATTGCATGGTCACCAATTGAAAAGAACAGAAGTAAGAACAGGAGTGAAAAGTTAGGAGACCACGAAACAAGACTGCACCAGTGGAGACCACTCTTCTCTCCCCACCCGCAGCCTCTACCTGAAATACAAAAGCATATGGCAGCTTACCTCTCTTGGTATCTTATCGACTCCAACACAGCCTGTGAAAAAGTCAAAATAAATTTCCATTACCACTCATAGAACAGTAAACATCTCTACTATATGTTGTATGAGTACTGTGTACAGTCAGATTGGTGTTGCATACATGAGAGGAAACAACAAAGAGGAAACAAGCATGCATCCAAGTGAAGCAGTAAAACTCACCACAGGTTTTCACACAGACATCCACACCAGAGTCATACAGCATTGTTCCATTAGGACAGAAACAGCCTTCCACTTGCTTAGTTGAGGTTTCGTTTTGTTGACTGTATGAGAGAAAATATTCAGAGGAACATCGTTACTGCCATAGGCACGCAGAAGGAGATTATGCCAAATAACCTTTCACTGAAGATACAGTAGCAAATGATCTGCACATTTGTGATTTAGGGATTATCAGTGTTCATGTTTGGTATAGCCAAACAACATAAACAGTACAGGCACCCAGATTTAGCATCAAGAGAACAGTGGTACCAAATTTGACAGTTTAAGACATGACAGGAGGTTGATTTATCTCATCCACCTATGCATTAGATATGACTGAACAGTTGTATGAGCTATAACTAACAGTGAAGGAATTATTTACCTTGATTTGCAGGTTGTCTCTTTAATAGGACCACATGCTCTGTATTCTTTATCTGAGGGGCATTCATAAGCTGGAATGGGAGAATAAAAAGGAGGAAGAGCTCAATAACAATATCATATAAAAGCCCCAGGACCTTATGCCAAGAAATTAAACACTGACTACTCATTTTCCTGTGTATCTTTGACAACCTTGAGAACCAAAGAGAAAAAAAAAACACATGTCAGATTCACGCCTCTGAATGGAACTATTTTATGCAATATAGCTATAGAGATATAGCACCACACTTTACATTAAGGAGATAAAGCCAAGAGTCTACATCTCGATTACAATTTTTTTCATCATTTCAGTCTCTTTTGCACCCTCTGTCCTCTTCTTACTACAGCTGAAAATGAATGCATATGTCACTAAATACGGAGTGATCTGCTGATGCCTGCAAAACACAAAACTGCCTGTGTACAAAAAAGTATCTACTGATACAGATGTTTCTGGCACAGTTAATATATATTTTTGTAGGCTCATTTATCATTTCTATTGTTAAAAATGTTACCTATAAAATTACTTAAAGAAAGCAACTGGTGTGATTTATTTGTCTTCATTGCTCGGAAAGCAATATGACTTACCGTTAGGACATTATTGCGAAAAGAGTTCCATAAAAGCTTCCCTAATAGCTCAAGATAAATGTCCAAATACTTACAGCAAACACCATTGGTATGACTTCTCCAGTCAATGCATACACTTTGATCAGCACAGGTGGCAGCATAGATCTGCAGACTTGAGCATTCCAGGTCTAAGTTGGGAAGTACACAACTATCAAAAACGCAGGCTGCGTAGTACTTTTCAGGCTGGACAAAGCCATGGCACGGCTCGAACACACTAGAAACAGAAACATTTATCATTATTAGGTACTCTGGTTTCTGCTGAGTGTGGGAAAAGGCTAGAGCATAGGACAATGGAGGGCAGAGAGTGTAGAAGAACGTGAGAACATCAAGAAAGGGTAATGAAGCAGCCAGAGGGTTGGAAGCAAACTATCAGCAACGAATGACCTCTAGAAACAGTAAAAGGAATGGAAGCAACCCGCAAAGCTACAAGAGCAGTAGTTAGAAACACTTTTTATTGAGAAATAAATCCTAAAATTGTCACTTAATTTGAAGATCAAAGGTTTATAAACCCCAAAGGAACATCTACCTTCCCAAAAGAAGCTTGCAGATGGAAGATTCTTTGCAAGGCTCCATTGGGGTTGTGCTAGGCACTTTTGTAGGTATTAGGCCTGGAGAGCACTGTGGTTTGGAGGGATCGACAACTTGCCAATGATCTGCCATGGTTTCACAGTTTTCTGCAATGTTTCCATTTGGCAACATACAGTCATCTGCTGTGTTGTTATTGCAAACACCTAAAATTGATAAGGGGAGAAAGAATTCACTCACGGATTTGTTATCAAATTCCATTCATCTTTGTGGCAGGGCTGTCATTTTTACCTGTTTGTGATTTTCTGAGAGTACAAAAATTACAAGAGTAAGCCTTACCACACTGTCCATGAGTGTTGTTGCCAAACAGGCTGTAGGGCATTCTGATAGAAAAGGACAAGCCATTGTAGGTCACATTCATTTTTAGTTCAGGAATTTCCACTACACGATTTATGCCTGACTCATAGATGCTCAAGCCAAATTTTTTATAAGGCAAAGCCACTGCCTGTTTGTTTACTGTCACCTAATAAATAAAAGAAAACAGAAAAGAGACATATATTTAGTTTGACTTTAGAAAACTATTGACTGTTCATTACTTTGCATTGGAGATAGAATGTAAAGGCAAATAACGTGCTTTTAGTTTGCAACAAGTGTCCCTGTGTTTCCTTTTATGTTACTGGAAAGTTGAACTTTTTTTCTCTGAGCCAAAGAAAAAGCCTATCAGCCACTGATAAACTAGGTTAAAATTCAGAGTTTAAATCAGCTAAATTCTAACACTCAACAGATTTATTAGAGTGACTATGGCATTGAGGACACCCCATGAAAGTGCAATATAAAATTCTCCTAAATTCCTAGTGCACACAGTTTTAACTTTCTTGGCATAAAGGGAACCTGCTTGTAGGAAAATTAAATTAAAGAAGTAAGCCCAGATCTTTATTATTTATTTAAATACAGTAGCCACGATATACCTACAGAACTAACACTGCTACTTTTACTCAGCAATGGTGGATTTCCTTGCTTTGGAGAAAAAAAAGAGGTCTAAATGTTGCAAATTTTCAACAATATGCTGCAACTTAACTTGTAATATTCCCACACAGTAATGTACAAAAATAAACCAAACAAACCCCACAAAAGCCTAAAAAACCCCACTTCTCACCCGATTTTGAAGCCCCAAAGGTGGGGCATCATGTTTATCAATGAAATAAACACATAAGAGCCCCTATTCTGAAAAATTAAAAAGGTGACACCAATCAAAGCTAGTAATAGTACTTTTTAAAAATGCTTAAGCCCAGTACTTTATTGTTACGTCTAGTTTACGTTGTATTCTCCCGTTCAACATTTATTCTTTTCCTTTGTTACATTAATATTAATTATAAATGAATTTATTTTATATCCTTAACTTTTAGCAATTTGTCCACGTTTGTGTATTTAGGAGAGATAAGGCACTGCAAATATTTGAGATAAGAAAGTGAAGAAGTTGCAGAAATTTTTCCCCATATTCAGAGTCAAAAAAGCAGCCCTTCAAAGAAGTCCTATTTTATAATCCAAAGAGTATTAAATCTGAAACACTTTTTAATTTTTTTCCTAACATTGTGAATATAATTATCAGATTGATGCTGTATTAATATTTTAATCAAAAAATCAAAGGTAACATTCTCCAATACCTCTACTTGTAGAGTATTTGGTTTGACTGTTGCTATGCGCACTTCCTGAGTTTCGTGTCTCACAATGAGCGTTCGAGGACAAGAGACTACATCCCGTGTATCACAGTGGTAGTTATCAATGTAGACACCAAAGTTGTCAACTTTCTTATGAATTTCTTCCACAAGGACATACGTGCAATTCCCTTGATAGCTGTAGTACACTCCATCAAAAGTCATGTAATGCGGGTCTCCCCAGCCAGTGCAGTAGCCTACAAAAACATACAGCTAGGTTAGCTTTTTATGGCAACATACAGAATCAGACCAGACTACAAACAAAATTTGTAGGTGCGGGATTCATCTCATCTAACTTTAAGCATTTAAATTTTTCAAGTGTATATGTCAATGCACGAGCTCATTATCTCATCAATAACAGAGAAAAACAGGCACTTTCAGGGCACAGTTCATCTGACATTTCTGATAGACAACTGAGAATAGGGTTAACTGCACCCAAGACAGACCTTTTCCAATAGTCTGAACAAGTAACTCTATAGGCTTCTACCCTATAGATGTCTGCATCTGGACATTCAAATCTTGCCTTGGGAGACCAATTTATTCTACTAACAAAATAGTTATGTAGAAATGATGGCATATGAAGTAAAAGCCCCCGATTAGCTAAAAAGAATCAATGAAGCACTCCAAACAGACTGACACTAGAAGACTGAGGGTCACAGTCTTGTGCGATACTTGTCCCCTGATAAATATTGTTGCTCTTGACACTAGTATTGTTCCCACAGGAGACAAAATACTCAACAAAATATGTACTTACAATCACACTCCCAGTGCCAACAGCATCCGTCCTCATCAATGACTTGCACAGGAGAAAGCCCATTGGCACATATAGGTTTAGGAGGTGGATTACAGATTACAGGAACCACCTGGACTTCATTGTCTTCTATACATATTGCCTTAATGCAGTCACAGAGCCACCATGACTCACCTGGCTGTGTTTGGAAAGAGAGGGGGAGGGGGAAGAGAGAGAAACCTTATGTCAGTCAGACTGACAACAGTTATGCCTGAATATCTTTTGCACAGTTCTAAAATGTTGTATGTTTATCAACAATTTTTTCCCCACCGGAAGTCTGAAAATGGGAAGGAAGTGCAGCAGTCAGCACCATCAAAGCCTGCAAGATGAGCTAGCACTCCTGAGAGCTACTAAGTGAAAAGCGTTACTTATAAAAGTCAAGACAGTAACCTGAAGCGGGAATTGCCTTTTTTAGTTTCAACTATCTGAAAGTTAGATGTCTGATCTAATCTCATCACCTAGACTCCCTCTCTAATCAACAGTGAAAGACACTGATACATATCAGTGATCAATATATGATCAATCCCCTTCCGTGAATGCCTAGAACAGATTAATACCTAAAGCTACAATGAATACCAGCTATTTGGGGAGTAATGCCTAAGGTGATTATGTGCATGCATTGTGATTGTATGCATTTTTTTCTATCTTCCACCAGTTTTGCAGCCATGTATAATTTTTATCCCTGCAGATCTCCTGAGCAAGTTGGTAGACATCTAAGCTGTGAGGAGGCTTTAGAAATGTACAAGACATCAGCTTGTCTGTGTCGGAGGTGGAGGGTTCCAAAAAACTCAGAACTCTGACTCAAATTTCACGAGCATTTGAATGTGGTGATCTGTTTCGCAGTCCTCTCCTGAAACCAGACTATGACAAAGTATGACTCATTCCAAACTCAGACTAGTTCAGCCCTGTGGTTTCTTGTTGGGCTGCACTGTAAACACACAAACAACTTTTCCCCACTCTGGACCTATTCAAAAGCAGAAACAGAAAAGATAGTTTAGCACCATGTAGTCTTTGGTTACATCTTCATCAAAGCTATCCTACGGTAAAGAGAAACATTGAGCTGTGATCTAAGTCCTTGAAGAAAGCCTTTTTTAAACTATCCTTGAAGAACTAATAGCAATATATAAGCAATCAAACCAAATATTATTGGAAGTCATGCTGACACCCAAGAAAACAGAAAGAAATAGAATGAACTGATTAATCCAGATTAATACCTACTCTGTAGGTTACTAACATGGAAATTATGTGCCTAGTCTCCATCCAAAGCAAAATGCTAAAAAAACTCATGAAATCTACTCACCGCATGAGATTCATTAGGGAAAATAGAACAATTTTTTCCAGGAGTGGTTGGTGGTGGACTTGTAGTTGAACCTGAAGCACTGAGTGGAGTAACTGTACTGTACGTAGAACTTCCTGCAATGGTGACTGCACTTGATGTTGCAGTTGGCCCAGATGTACTAGCTGAGCCAGTGGAAACAATTTTGGTGGTGGTGGTGGTGGTTGCAGTGATAGTGGTATAATTACTAGAGGTTGTTCCTGAAGTGGTGGTAAAAGATTCTGTTGGAGATGTACCAGAGGTGGTGAATGACACGGGGCTGCTTGACACTGATGGCGAAGATTCAGCAGTGCTAGTGGTAGACTCTAGGGAAGATGGTGCTGAGGTTGCGGTGGAGGTGATGGCAGTTGATCTTGTCAAAGTAGTGTGAATTGCAGTGGTTGTCATTGGGCCACCAGTTTTCGTTACTATCGTGGTGCTGTGGGG